TGTTTAAATTCTGCAAAAAAAACAAAAAATGTGTTACCACAAAGCCACTCATGACCGTCGAGAGATTGCCTGCCAAGGGTGTGTAATAAATATGACAGAAAAAGCTAATGAGGGAACTATACTTTATGCTTTCTGGGCAAACGTCAACCTTGGGTGTAATATTTTTCTTTTGCATGTTTCCAGCAATTATGAACCCCAGTGAGAGAAGCCCAGTTTTGCTTATTTGTTTAGATGAGTATTGAGCAGTTAGAAATCGAAGCGCTAGATTGAACTGTTTTAAGGAGTGGAGCCTGGAAAAATAGATAAGGCGAGGTTGCAATCATGACATGATCAATGCTCTAGCATTCGCATGTCAATGTCATTTTCTTACTGCATAAAGTTAAACTTTCCTTAAGAGTGCATTTGAGGGTATCATTTCTTCCTCAAAGTCGCATGCGAAGTTCATCCTTCGTCTCCATCTTTTTCCAGACTAAATACTCTTTACTGCCAATGAATATGTTTCTACCATTTGGTTTACACTTTAGGTTAACATTGAGATTCCTTGAAACAGAGTACCTGACCATTAAAATGCTCTACAAGACGTGATTGACTTAAAGACCTATGACTGCGAACTTATGGGGAAAAAGATAAGATAAAATATCTATTTAACTAATATTTCGTTCTACAATACTATAGGTTTAGACAAAAAGTCAAGCGTCAGAGTCTTATTCGGTCTCAAGTAAAGTAGCCGGAGACATGTGCTTCGTGACTTCGAAGGGTAGATTCAGAGTTTCAGTTATTTATTGATATTTTATTCTTGTTTCCGAAGTGGGAATATTAATCTTAGGGGACGTGAACGCATTGCCAGAGAGCGGATATTTGTTTACCTTCAAACCTTATATCCTATACATATAAAAATAATAACGCCATGAACATACGTTATCCAAGAAAATAAGCAAAATACTTCAATAACTCTAATTACCCTCGTACTACAGATTGCCTCGAACAAACTTCAGAATTGTTACTTCAGAAATATGACTTTTAGATTTCTCTCACTCATACATAGATCTCTGAGTGAGAAGAATGAACTCATATTTGTGCAGGGCAAGACAGAGTTGGCTGCTGAGTATCTAATAATGCTACAATATTTTTGCAATAAGCCGAACTTGTAGGCATGCACGTCGCGTGTCAACAGAGATTTCTAATCTCAAATATTCATGAAAACTCATGGTGTTCAAATCTACCTTGGACACATAACCATACGGCAGAATTTACCGCATAGTCCTCTTGGACAGGTAGATATGTTCATGGAGCATATGTAAGTAGCATGGATACTATGCTGCTTAATTCTAGCTTAGACAGATCGAAATCGTTAAACATACCAGCGGTAAGTTTCACGAGTCTGGTATGATACCGGGTTCATTAGTTATAAAAGCTCAAGACACAGATACAACAACAAGCAAATCTGAACTGCTTTACCTGCTTATTCTGTACAATCCACGTGCTTTCCCATTAACTTCAGAATGAGTACTTACTCTCGAGCTCGCTGCCTTGACTGCCCTTTTTGGCACAAGCTCGCAGCAGTCTTGTTTATGGTTGCCGTACTTACTCCAGCTCCTGCTGTCAGTGCCACTCCAATTAAAGGCAGAAATCATGTGTGTCCCACGGCCTTCTGGAATTTCGGAGACTCGCTGACGGACACCGGAGGCACGCTTGACGTCTTCGCTTTGTCCTTGGACCCCGAGCGCAGCCCCTATGGAGAATCGTTCTTCAAACGACCAGCTAAACGATTCTGCAACGGACGCGTTGTGCCTGACTACTTCTGTACGCTCACTCCCTGTTCACCGTCCCAAATACTCATATAGATCAGATCGACAGATTCAATCTTCCTGAAAGTTTTTTGGATTTATCATATGATGATATGGGTCGCCCATGTTCAGGCAAGCCTCTGATTTCAACACTGAGAGATCAGATCGCCAGAAATGTATCTAGATTATTTCAGCTTAGTGGCTAGCCCTTGATAAAGTCCTCAATACGCTCGTAGGAATGGTTGGGCCAGGAAGGATGATTTTGAGATTACGGTGCCTTTCAAGTCATGCATGTCCAGGTTGTACACCGCGACGTACCATACTTGGTTAAGATCTTCCGATTCTAGGCGTTGCTAAAAATGGTAGAGCAGCAATGTCATTGGCGATGCTGGTGTGCTCCAGGCTGACATGTCGTTATTGTTGGTGTTACAGCTCTGGCGTTCAAGTACCCGCTGCTACAACCATATTTCCAGGCAGGTGCCTTCGATTACAACTATGGAGCAAACTTCGCTTCTGGAGGAACAACTGCTTCCAACGACACTTCTAGGAACCCGATATATCTGCTAAATCAAGTTGCCGAATTCGTCAGATTCAAGCAGAGCGCAACTTCTCAGAAGAATCAATTTGGTACGTGCCATTGTCTCCTCTCTACTTTCTTCCTAACTTTGGAACAAGGACCGGAGCTAAGAATGAGAATGAATAGTTGTGATGAAACTTCTGCCGTACTTTTACCTCGCAATATACCTTACGGGCATTCCATTCCACTTCTTTCATCCGACCATATCTTAAACTGTCAATTGATCGAGCATGTGGGCTCCGCTTGACGGTCTCTGAGTTCCATCGACTGATACCTTCAAGGTGTTCTCTGATTGTATATCCAGCATGCCATCCGTTCAAACAGTTTCTGCCTCGCGATGACTCGTATGGCGAAGGATTGTACACCTTTGAAATTGGAGGAAATGACGTTCTTAACGCCATCTTACTCAAAAACCAGACTGCAGCGCAAGTTGTAACTCAAGTGATCCCTGACGCCATGATGAACATCCTCGCCACTATCAAGGTAAACATTTCATGAAATAATGAAGATTCTCATAAGGTATGACTTAGTGGTAAGCGGATGAAGTACGTACAATCAAAATACTAAGTTATCCGAGAGGAACAACGAGCCAATGTAGAGTTGAAAATTATTTTAGTACAAGGTTCAGGATGTTAGAAGATCAAGATCTAAAATCCCTGGATCAATTATATTTTTCAATCTTCTTATTTGCCAACTTGAATGAAACATCTTCGTAACTGATTCACCCTGAGATTTAGAATTACCAGATATAAATGTTGTTCATGTGTACCTTTTGCCTTTTGATAGTTACAATTGATCAGCCAAGCGTCTTATTTCATCTCTTGTTGTCCAGATCTTAACATCAAATGGGGCAAAAAAATTTCTCTTCTTCAACACTCCTAATGCAGGCTGCAGCACCATAGCTATGACTGTTCTGGCATCCATTCCCGGGCTACAAAAGGATGATATGGGCTGTATTGTGTTTATCAATGAGCTCGATCAAGCCTACAACAAAGCTCTTAATGATACAATTGCATCTGCTCGACTTTTATATCCTGGTAGAACGTTCTCCATCTTCAACTACTACGCTGCCAACTTGGAGATTTTGACAAACCCATCCCTTTACGGTACATTCTGAACTCAATTCTTGCAGTACAACAATTTGGAGTTGATGCATGTTCCTTGAAACGTCTTCTTCGAATGCTTGGATAACTGAAGGTCTCACGTTCTCTCGACATCTTCTGCTGTTTGATGACAGGATTCAATCCAGCTTTGACCAAGCGTGCGTGCTGTGGAGCTCCTGGATTTGGAACCCTCAACTTCAACCCACTCGTTACTTGTGGTAATCCAGGGTCCAACAAGTGTGCCAACCCGGAAGAGTATGTGAATTGGGACGGTGTACATTTTACCGACGCGTTTTACAGGCAAATCGCCTCATGGGCCCTCTCTGGAAAATTTACTGATAACCCGGTCAACTACACCTCTCTCTGCAAATTAGATTTCCGGAACTTTGCAAAGTCTTCCACTTACAACTCTGTGTATCCTCAGAGTTGCAGGGTTACTTTCACGTGATTGACGCTGTCGGTTCTTTACATTTACATTCATGGATCTTACGCTCGAAAAATTAGATTTCAGAAGAGTTTATAAGGGAATTTCAGTCCCTTCCAGGACGTTACTTGAGATCAAGGAATGTTAGAAATATCTAGTTGCAAATGATCTTGATTATAACCACTAGCTATAGATTCAGATATTAATTAGATAGATATCCTTATGGAATATCATGATAAGAATTCAATGAAGTGGTTCGAAGTCTATGTTGAAAACTAGGAATGATAGAAGTTGAGGCTATGTTGCACATACATCACATCGATTTCTAAGTGCTCAAGCAGTGAAAGAATTGTAGAGTAATCTCTTAGAATTTTTGTGTCAATCGAACTTTGAAAAAACATTTTTTACTGTAATACTTTTAGCTTTATAAAATTTTCACTAAACATTGCAATTATTCACTTCCTTCTAATTGGTATTTGTAATCTTCTCATGGTTAATTGCCTAATCTTTGTCAAATTTTAAACGAAGGTTAATTTTTTACTCTTTGTATTAGTAAACAAAATTTGTGAATATTTTCTTCCTATTTTATGTCAGAATACTCCAAGCATTCTTTTACATCAAACTGATAATAAAAAACCATTAATGTACAAATGTGTGTGTTTGTAAGAAGAATAATTGCTTTCATATATAAAAATTGAATGAAACACAAATCTGGAAATTTTTCTTCAATTAATTTTTAGTTTAGCACAATATATAACTTTAAAATTCATGAATATGACTTATATTGAAAAAATAATTTTTATTATCGTCTTTACAAAATTGAATATATGTTTTATTATAAGTTGCATTTCTTTTCATCATTTAAAACCTACAAATTAATGCTTAAAAAAACCTAATATAATTAGATTAAAACAAAACAAAAGTTATGAATTTTAAAACTATCAAGTGAAGTTGTTTATAAATCTTAACAACAAGACTTTACATTCCAATTTCAGAATCGAAGCTAAACAATCAAGTGCAATGTTGTGATTTCAACTGAACTTAAGTCCATTTGTGGGAGCAAGTCTAGCCAGTTTGTCGACAAGATTGGCGGGTCTAAGCACTGAACAATGTCAAGACCAGTGGAAGGAACGATAATTGTCGGAGCCGGGACGTCAGGTCTTGCTGCCGCCGCATGCCTCAGAGAAAGAGGCGTTCCAATAACCTTGCTGGAGAAGTCCGGTTGCTTAGGCTCGATCTGGAAGGAGAGGACATATGATCGCTTGCATCTTCACACTCCAAAGGAGTTCTGTCAACTCCCGCCCATGCAGCTGCCTGCATAGTATCTGACGTATCCAAACAAGAAGCAGTTTTTGGATCATCTGCATGAATATGTGGAAGCGTTTTGATATAAAACCCATTAACAGTACACATGTGGACAGCGTACAATACGATGAAAATTCTAAGGTCTGGCGTGTTACCTCCCAAGGTTTCTCATCTAGCAATGAAATCGAGAAGGCCGAGTATACGGTCCGCTGGTTGATTGTCGCATCACGGGAGAATGCTGAGATTGTCATGCCCAAACTCCCAGGGATGAAAACTTATAGTAGGAGCATTCTGCACTCGAGAAATTATAAGTACGGTTCAGAGTACGTGGATAAGAGGGTGCTCGTAGTCGGTTGTGGAAACTCAGGGATGGAGATTGCACTAGACCTTGCCAACTTAAACGCCAAACCAAAAGTCGATTGTGGTCCGTGACTCAGTAAGGAACTCGCGTCCATTCCTCACCCCAACAACCATCAGGCGTGCATGTGATTTCCGCCGCCAGAGAGCGCTGCAGAATGTATTGGATTTCGCTGGACTCACGGTTTTGTTTGTTCCTACATTCATATAAGGGAGGAGGTGCTGGTTGGGAAATGACTTTGGTTTTTGAGCTTGACAATCGAAGTGAAATGTGTGATACAGGTGCACGTTCTTCCATGGGACATTGTCGGAGCTTCAACCTTCGTGGTGGCTATGCGACTTTCGAAAGCCTTGCCTCTTTGGCTGACTGATTGGCTGCTTGTATTTGGCACGTGGCTGACATTGGGCAACCTGGCGAGATACGGACTAAAGAGGCCCATCGAAGGGAATCTACAGCTCAAGCAGAAAACGGGGAAGACTCATGTTTTGGACGTGGGGACGGTCAATCAGATTAAGAATGGTCACATTGAGCTAGACAATGCATATGTGATTTCTGGTCTGGTCATATAACTATCGTCCCTCGTTTGCATGGCAAAATTTTGAAGATGTGGTTACTCTGTACTCTGGTCTTTATCCATCGATTGCATATAAATAATGACTTCCCGATGTTATGAATGTTGGTCGTTCCGAAGGTTGTAGCACTTATGACCTCTGGGGTCCGATTCAAGAATGGGGAGTTCGAATCATACGATGCAATAATCTTCGCAACAGGATATCGAAGCAATGTTCCGATGTGGCTAAAGGTGGCAAGCTGGTCCATACGTGAAGACTTTGTGAAAACTGTATCTAACTGTTGCAACGTGTTTTATTATACAGATATTTCTCTTAACCATCATGATTATTTTCCTAGTGCTTCAATGCGTGATGGATGGAAAGGAGAGAGGGTATTGTATGCCATCGGATTCACGAAGAAGGGACTTGTTGGAACTTTCATTGTATTTCACAGACGCCACGAATATCGCCGAAGACATCGGGAGAGCTTATGATCATGACATGTTGCAAACTGCTATTTAGGTTGAGGAATACAATGGATCATTGAAGATCTGGAAGGGCTAGGGTGGCTAGCAATACTTGTCGAAGTCATAACAGATGAAGATATTGGCCATGGACAACTTCATCACGGACACAATGTTCACAACTATGGAACGTCGAGGCAGTGAGTAGTAATTAAATAAGCTACTGACCCCTCGGAAAAACAGAGGAAGTGCTGCTCCTTCTCTTGAGCTTGACTTTCACGTACAGCACAATCACAAGGCAGTTGTTTGGGTTTCCGCGTTGAATCCGCTCTTTCTCTTGTTCGTTCGCTCCCGAAATCTTACGTGCAATTGGAATGATGTGTTCCATCCCATATATATATCCAGCTGGAAAACGTTCGAAACCATCGAAAATTCAATAATGACTCATCGATTTCGATCGCATTCAACGGAAGAACTCTCCAAGAACCCGTTCTCCCGTTCAGCTGTGCGGCACGAATTTGAATTATGACCCAAACGGGTGATATTTCAAATTTGGGCTTGGCGTGAAGGCCGAGGAAATCTGTGCTTTATAAATGTGAAACTCAGTAGCTGTCTTAATTGAAATATACAGTTTCTTCCATTCTATCCAGATTGGCGGGTTCAATTCCTAAAAGAAGTCACGGATTTTAGTTTTTTAAGATCAAATAGCAGATCTACAAATGTTCCTTAGATACGGATGAGCGAAAAATTTAAATACGAAAGTAGCTGTGTGAAGTATATACACAAAGGTTTTTGACAATCCCTTTGTACTAGGCCACTAAAACGTTACTTATAAAATCTACATGTTGGACATAGACGATGTAACGATGTAAAATAACGATGTAAAGCTTCAGATTCTGTATTATCTGCAATTACAAAAAAAGTCAATAAAAGCGAGAGTTAGAGTTGTTTGTGAGGGAGAGAAAGTCTCTCCCTCACAAACAACTCTGAGAGAACCGGTTGATATTTCAGCTAGAGCTGTGCCAGCGATCTGAGTTGCACCTTTGTTGGGATAGGAAGCAATGTACTTTTTAATGATGGATTTCAGTCTTTCTGGACTCTTACAAAATTTTGTGGAAATGGCAGGAGGTCTTAAAGCGTGGGGATCCTCACAATCTGGTCTTCGTCATCAGTCAAGAACATGGATGCTCGTACATGGAAGCAGCAATTCACGCCATGGAAATGATCAACAACAGGATCAATGACCTAGAGACAGCGGCGGCCTACTTGCAGGTGGAAGCTCCCTACTCGAGTCAGAACGCAGTGGCAGAGTACACGAGAGTATGCAGACAGTGGGTCACGGGCTCTCAGCAGCGAGAGAAAGTCTCTCGCTGCTGTTACAGTGTACAAAGAAGAGGCCCGATGAAGAGGCATTTCTGCACTTCTATCTGTGAGGTGCATAAGTGGATGAGAGGTCGACGCGTCCGTTGCTTGCACCGGCTTTGAAATCAACAAAATACTCTAACAAAATACTCTGGAGAAGACATCTGCTACTGGGGCATCTACATGTAATTCAGTTGTTGCTGCTGCATATGATGAACATCGTTGTCTTGCATCGCTGGCGTCTTCTCTGTAAAGGCGACCTGAGTAGGCCGACCATGTGTGTAATACTCTGAAGGACTCGCGTTGTTGTATGCAATATGGGTATGCGGATCACGGCGATTCATTGAGAAAGGCAAGGAGTGGAGCTGCCCAATTGATGTGGATTCATTGTCGGATGTTACCAACAGCGACGATGAGGTGGACATAATTGAGAATCAAATTTATAGGGTCCAACCTAATGTGCGGCCATCTACTCAGGGTGTGCAAGATGAAATCTTGAGCAACCTCCATCAGCGGCAATCGCTCTTTATTTTTCTCGTGGTTGTCGCTTATTGTCGGCGAGCCAAAAGTGACATTGTTGGCAGCATCCTCCACCAACAGTACCCTTAGTTTCTCGGACCAAACCATTCCGTTCTCCTCCAGTATCTCGGCCTCTCGCTGAAGATATCGTAATGTCCCATACACTCCATTGACAGGATCTCGTTCCCGACCGTCAGACTCGAAGCTGACACTCTTCATCAGATCCTCGACGGAGCTCCGATTCTCTCGTATAAGCCTCAATATGTTTGCTACTCCGAAGAGCCTGTACGCGTTGGCAAACCACCTGGGCTGGTCCGGAGAGAACCATGGCGCCAGCAAGCAGTCCACAGTGCATTTCCGACTCTGGAACTTGCAAGCAGGGTGCGCTTCGTTCGGAGGGAAGCCCATGCTCGATGAAAGCACAACCAGGGAGCAATCCCGCATAGCCCTATACAAAGGGTGCGGAACGACATCAAATAACTTCATCATGACATTTATATTTTCGGTGATATCTAATTGGAGATCGCTGTGCTATACCTACTACGCTACTCGCATCGACACATTATCGTTAGCGTATCACATCAAAAGCGCAGGTGAAATCGTCACTTTTGGCTCGCCGACAATAAGCAACAACCGCGAGACAAATAAGCAGCGGTTTCGCTGATGGAGCTTGCTCAAGATTGCATCTTGCAAACCCAGAGGAGATGACCGCAGATTAGGTTTGACAGTATGAATCTGCTTCTCAATTAACTGTTGGTAACATCCGACGATGAATCCACATCAATTGCGCAGCTCCACTCCTTGCATTTCTCAATGAATCGCCGTGATCTACTCTATAATTCAGTCACCAAGTATGCGTCTGTCATACTTGGTGACGACGCAGAGGGCTGTGCAATGGTGCAGTGCGCCTGCAACGTCACGATAGAGTCGGTGTTAAATAGCCCGCTGGGGTTGATCGGGCTTTTTGACGAAAGTGCCGCCTGATCGGCACGACCACGAACATCAAATCTGATGGGCAAACATATTGGAGGGTCACAGCAACGATAGGCAAGGAATACACGATGCAAGTTACCCAAAAACTACGCTCTGCGGAGTTGTAACAACGTACGCCTGGCGATCAGCCGCGAATAAGATTGGCTGCCAATAATCGAGCCACACGGAGGTCGCGGAAATGATGTTCGCCTTATCACGAGCTTCAATTTTCATCACAACCTTCATGGGTGCACCGAATTGCCATTTCCGACTTTTCTTTATATGATTCCATTTTAAAAGCATAGGAAATTTATTGGAGTTTGCTCGTTATTTGACATTCAGGCAGTCTCTTTATAAGACTCGAATCCAATTATGATGAGTTACAATTCTGTCACTAGGGACCACATGATTCAACCAGGCTACTTCCAAGTCTTCGTATACTGCTGCAATACATCGCCTTTAGTTCCAGTTCGAATTTGATGATAGATGATGTACCATAGTACATGCTGTTAGGATCCAATGAGCTGCCATTGTTAGAATTTTAGAAGAATTTTAGGGTACTGCCCTCGAGAGGGGGTGTTGTTACTATATAGATTACCGAGTGCAGTGTACTAATAAAACTAGCACAGAATATTAGATTAGAAGATTAGTTGAATCTCCTTTGTCTTCTTCCCGTGCATTCTAGGCATATTGACGGTGGATGAACCATATCAACCATAATCTCTTGCTTACTTAAGGTACCCAACTCTCACTAATCAACTATCGAGTTGAGTTGTTACTTACAACAAATAGAACGATACACTCTAACAAACATAAAATCAATTCTTTTGTCTTAAACGCGGTCCCTACTACCAGAGACGAGACCTTCGAGTTTTAAAAGGTTGAGTATGAGTTAACAAATGTAAGTTATGGAATTTGAGATTGCGAAACCCACACACACAAGATATTCTAAATTTTATATTTACATGTTTTACATATCGTCGCATTTACAATAGAGTATAGGTAGCAATTTTGAAAATCCCTGATATTCTCCCCAGTTGCCCTTCCGTTGAACGGGGGAGCTGTGATACAGTCTCAGTCAGTACAGTCTCCTTCAAAACTCCGTAGCAGCATACTCCCTTCCACGTTTGAGAGATTGACTTTCGATTCGAGCTTTATGTGACTCTCTTATAATGGCCTAAAAAAGGATATGACACACTAAAGTGCACACTAAACGTGACGCAACAGAATAAATATCTGAGGTCGCTCACAATTGGACCCAACTTTTATCCCTGGAAAGAAATTCTTTCGGGCATTGGAGCTTTCTACTTTAAGAGCTTCAGAATTGCTGTCGGCCGCCGAGGAAGTGGAGAATCAGAATAATAGAGGCCATGGAGAATACCATCCGACAAACTTCTATGCTACACACGCGAAATCAACACATCATGCACTTCTTTCTGTTTTTCCTACCGGATCCTGATATAAGCATTAGTGGTTGTGAACCCACAACCACTAGTGCTTATGGAATCCTTCATGAGAGATTACTTGATTGGAGGCTTCGGCCGCGGTCGCGTCTGCGTCGAAAATCGGGAACGTAGTGCAGGGAACAATGGAAGCTTGGCAAGGTCCAGTCAGTTTCGGCCTTCGTCCCATGCCCTTCTAGGTTTTAGGGTGGAGTTTGGCATTTATGAATTGATATGAGAGACGTGGATCGCTCCAGTTCCACAACATGTGTGCTGAAATGGGCCGGACACAGGTTGTGTTAGTCAGAACCAAGTGTGCAAGAGGAATCAGATGGAACGACTCCGTGTCTCCCACAATCTTCCTGGTTAACTCGGTCACGGGAGAGTACCACTTCTTCCGATCCTGATCGACGGGTCCTTGGATAGCTTTCGTGAAGTGTGAGACAAACTTATAGCTGATGAAGTCATGTTTGTTCACATAGAGATACGGAGACCAATTGGCTTGAGCGAGTGTCTTGAACTCAGCTAATGCTTTGTTTCTCCTGTCGATGTTGTCGGTGTCGTGGTCGACCACTGCATGGAATAATTTGCTACCAGCGCGCTTGGCAGCGTCCCTTATTCTTTCACCCTCGGCCGGCAATGCCTCGACAATCACACGTTTCACAACATGTGCGGCGCTGCGCGCCAGCGATTCCAGAGTGGTGAACGGAGGATTGAAGAAGTGGCACTCGACCAGACAGCCTTCGAGTGCCAGCCTTCGACAGACCATCAAGCCCGCTGCGGCCCCGAGTGAATGACCGGTCACGTTCACGTTGCGGTACCCATGTTTCGTAACGAGACGCCGGACCACAACCTCGAGAATTTTGATCAAGTTTGAAGAGTTCAGTTTCTCAAAAACGATCTTGGCATCGTTGTAGAGATCCACCAAAGCAAAGAGCTCAGTTCCCCTGATGGCGACTACACACTCTGGAGCCTCGGCTAAAGGACTGTCCTTATTTCGTTGGAAGACACCGAAGTACTGGTCCTTACGCTCATCCTCCAGTTCTGCACAATCATACATTTTTGGCCGGAGTCACGCAAGGTCGGATTCAGATGGGGTTCAGATTGAGATGGATCATGTAAGTCCGATACAACACGCACCTGTTGCATAGCGTCTGAGCTCGTCCTCAGTCAATACTGAATCCAAGGGGATTAGTTGATAGTGCACCTTGGTCCACCATTCCTTGTATTCTATTTCAGGTTTGCGTCTGAACCTGTCGTACATCCCATAGACCAGCCTTACGAGGATGGCACGTTTCTTGATCTTCCGCTCTCCTGCGTCACTGTCATGATCATGGGCGGACATTGAGCTTGATCAGTTACACAATATCTGACAAACCAAAGCTTCTTCAAATACACGTAATAAATTCTCATGTCTATAAACGAAGATCAGTACATGCAATATCGGAACTTAAAGTCTTATCAGTCTCCTTACTCTTGCTGATCGTTTGCGTGAAAGACCGGTTCTGGATCGTTCTTCTTTGCTTCCTTCTCCTTATGATTATTATAAACGAGGTACCCTTTATAAAGACCCCCAACAGCAAAAAGTGCACCTACAACCATGATAACTTGTCACAGTCCAACAGAGCTTCCACTCATTCGTTTGCGAGAACGACGAAAACCACGCCTCCAGTAATTCTTCTTCGTTCAAACCTCGTGCGAAAGTGAAAGGGATGGTCGGGAATCCCCGTACAAATCCCCACCATCCCCATACAAAGACGCCCTCCTGCGCCGCCCAGACCCAGGCCTGCTCGCTCACCCCACACAATGAAGCCTCTGCCATTGCAACCGGCTTGTGATCTGATTAATATGCTGCATATGCTTGCCTTCGGTGTTTCTAGGATCACGTGGTGAATTTGACCTGCGCTGGATTTTACCTTCTGTCCGGCCACGGCTTCCGACATCGTCATCGAATCATCTCATGATCATGATCATCTGTACCACACCGTATTCAGTGAACCCATACTCAGAAACGTTTCATCTCCCGTCCAACAATTTGAGTGGCATAAAAGTCCACGAAAGATATTACGCAGAACCTTTCTACAAGTTGAAATTATATTATAAGCTAAAAAAGGTAAACACTGACGCAGATAGTGCGCTCACTACCGAGTCTTCCGAGTCTGAGTCTCCTTCTTTCATTACATTAAAACGAAGAAGTCGATATTCCGCCCATTATCGCATAAATGTGAAACTTTCATGTGTCCCTTCTTGGTCTGAGGACAAGCTCTTTTAGAAAAAGAGATATACTGCCGTATATCTGTAGCAGACGGTGTTCTTCTTCTTCATCTTTGTCGCTTATGTTGCATGTTTATGACGGACGGTGGGTTGGTAGATGCGTTTGGATGATAGCAGGATCAGCTTCCAGGTGTCTATCTTTGAAGCTTCATTAAATCATTTGTAGAGGATTGGGCTAGCGAGATCGTCAGTTGGATAGCCGGTGATCAATGAATAGCTGTGGAAAACAACCGGTGGACCTTTGACTGATCTTTTGACTGATAGTGATACTCGGATGTGGTTGTAGTGTTGAAAAACAGTAAACCGTGTCACTTATATTTATTGTGTGGGTAATTTGGACGGCAAATGAGCAAAACGAAATCAAAGAAGCCCGTCAATCAGACTAAACAATTGAAATCTCGACGATCGGGATGGGGAAACCGAGTGATAAGAGGAGAGGGATGAGAGTATGGGAAGGAGATAAGTCTGATTACCTCGGTTAGCAGGAATAGGGAAGAAAGAATCAGTGTGCAGAAAGAGGCGGGCATCACATCACAATATGAGTTTTAATTCCTCCCAACCTTTGAGCTGCTGGACGAAATCATGCTTCAAGACGATCAAGTAATGAGCATTAATGCTAATTGCACCTTTGCTCGGCTCAGCTTAGCCCACGATGAGCTCGGTCTTTGATATTGGGATGAATTACTAAAAACTGATCTTAGCACAATCTAAGGACACTAAGGTTCGTGCAAGTTGCACCTATTGTGCACCAGTCTTCGATTCCAATCCTCTTCGCCAGTGGTCCTGGCGTCTCGTTCACAACTACAACTGACCTTTCAGATTCTGCATGAATGCGAAGTATCAACATGCTTTGTTTACTGCTTCAACTCTCAACTCGTTCGATTTGTATGTGAACAAACTGGCTGTCAAGGTAGTATCCAAATATTAAATCATATAACTTCACTACAGAATATGTCTATAAGATCCTAATTGGATATATTACATTTGAGGATAGTAAAACTTAAGAGTTCCATGTAAAGGGTGTGATAAGCTATTTATCGCCCTTTCACGTCCTCATGAAGTAAGTGAAGAAGCAGATTGTTTATTGCCGGAATATGCATGGAATCTGTCAGACTTGAAGTTGTGTTGAAGCTTATTTTTACGAAGCAAAATTACCGAAAGATTGTGGAATTGCAGTAAGATTTTGATAGCGATAGCCGATGCATTAAGCACACCAGCATGCTTGACCTCCATGATTATGGAAGAAGTGAGAGATGCAGCGGAAAGCATAAGATGCGTATTTTATGAAAATTTCATAAGTCAGGATAGGCTAGAAGCATACTCACGGTTACGGTTTCGAGGTCGGGGAAGAGCCAGCTGTAACCCTTTTACATCAAGTGAGTTTTACTTTGGCAACCATTTAGAAAAAAATGAATCATATCTTTCTGTAGCCATATGATTTTTATGAGAACTTGGAAGTCATGAGGGAGATAATACAATAGAATGAAAACGTTTTACACGCCTTCTTCTTCTTACACGAATACACGCCTTCATCTTCTGACACGGTACTGTTTGACTTTAGTATCGGTTGAGTTCTATAGATTATTCTTATCTCGGCTTATATTCGAGCAGTACCACTGTCACAAAAGATTTTATGAAATCTTCTCTGATCAGCTGAGGACTCACTATCTAGAGAATCCAAAACGGATAACATCCGTGTTCAATTACCACACTATGTTTGACAATGCCAGTTATATACATACTTCTAACGAATAAGACAGGGCATCAGACTTCTAAAACCGTGACATTTATATATGCGCTAAGTAACACGATATCATACCCTCAAGGCGATCAATAGAGGATGTTCATGTCAGAAGAAGAAGCAATGCGCGAATAAATTAGTAGTTGCAAGTCCAAGTCAATTGTTGATGCTATGTGGCATCTGCATTGAATTATGTTTATACCCAGAACTCAAGCTACAAGGAATAAACGATTAGGGGAACAAGCACAAAGAACAGAAGCTAAGGTTTATCCGTTTGAGGTCCAAATTCAAAAACAATGTGAACATTAACTTCGAATCAATCGGAGTTGAGCCCTCACCTTAATTCAAGCATTTGACTTGTTTTTCAAGCGTCTTCCCAATTAGCATGAGTTGCTTTTACTGTTTGGCTAGTAGATGCTAACCCACGCTCCGAGACAGGTGAAGCATCACGAGCAGACTATGTCACCATCAACAGTCCAGAGAATTTTGAGTTTTTTAAGATGATATCACAACGTTTTGCTCGTGAGTTTAAATTATGCATTAATGTAGATGTTAATGCATGATCTTCGAACTTAATTAATGTTAGGGTCATCCCCCGTCGCATCAGTTTACATAACGTGACAAAGGGGGAAAAAATCATTATAAAGATTGTGACTTTTGTCATGGACTCCACAGCTTACCCTCCCCGGCCCTGCCCTGGCGTCCCCTCCTGAGGCGATCTAAATTTAGGCCCGAGCTCCAGCCTCAGGTGCTGCTGCAGAAGGGGACAATGTTCGACGCTGTCCAGTTGGAGAAAAGGCCTGCATTGCGAGGGTTCGCGTCGTCCAGTTGTTGCTACAGCGGCAAGCGTTCAAGCTGGAGGACGAGGAAGAGGACCTGAATCAGCGAAGGCGGCCGTTTGACCTCATCGGATTTCAATTTCATCGGTCCGCGTCTCTGTCTCGCGCTTGAGTGCATTATGCGATGAACATCAGCGCCGCTTGAGATTCTGGAGGTTAATCCCACACGGATTCCTCTGAAATTCAGGCTTGTTGCTCGTGGCTTGGAGTAAACGTCTTGATTGGAATACAACAAGACCTTTGCTCCCGGAGTCCGCTGGTCTACTCTTCGAGGAATGATAACGCTTTCTGTAGCTCTTGGTTAGGATTTGCATCAAATGGAGGTCATCTCTGCTTTTATTAATGAGAAACTACAAGAGCTGATTTACATGCAGCAGCCCCAGGCTTTGAAGAACCAGGTAGAGAGCATTGGGTGTATCTGCTGAAACGGTCTCTATACTGGCTTGAACAATATCCTTGTTAGTGGTATGAGGAGATTGACACGCAACAATTGAACCATTAAATCTCAACGTAAATTTCTTCCATGAAGGTAAAGCTATCACTATACTTTTACTTTACGTTGATGATGTTTTAATGTTTGGGAGCAGTTTTTCTCATGTTGTGGAAGATAAGACCCAACTTAGCTTACAGTGTAAAATGAAGGATTTAGGTAGAGTCTCTCGGTATCTTGGGGTGCACATTGTGCATACCCATACCAGGGTAAATTTTATGCATCAAACCGGCTACACTACGCACTTACTCAGTGAGTGCAGCTTGGACGTGTCACTGACCGGATCAATTTCGCTTCAGGTTGAAATTATTCTCTAAACAGATACAAATAAACCACCCGTTGACATCTCGAAATGTTGTCACCTGGTTGGAAAGCTCATTATTCTCTGTAACACTTATCCTGATAGTTTGTACGCTGTTGAACTTCTTAGTTGGTTTATGCACAAACCTGACGTGTTGAAATGAGGTTCAACGCTTTCTCTGGTACCTCAACGGCACCGTTAATTTTGGGTTGCTTTACAAAAAGGAAGAACCGCATATACAAGGTTATACCCCGTCAATATAGCTTTGGATATGTTATATTGACGCGGATTACATCAGTTGTCGATCCGTTGGAGCTTATATTTTAAACTCACAAAAAGACACGTCTCCTGGTCGTCTGAGCAACAGCCCACGGTTTCCTATAGCACACCTGAAGCGGAATACAAGGCCTTGTCGAAAGGGGGCGAAGACACTTTATGTCTCAGGCGGTTAATGCAAGAATTGAAAATCCTTCCTTCTCTGAATGTTCCGCTTTCTTGCCCTGATTCTACAATGATTCACGATCTTAGGGATGTAGGGACACCTATCATAGTAGATATGCACCTAATTTGCGATACTACAATCAGAGTGCTATTAGGCTAGCAAAAAATACTCTGTTCCAAGCCAAGACCAAGCACATTGAAGGCAAACGCCATTTCATCAGGGAAAGGGTGTTAGAGAAGAAAGTTGACCTCAAGTACATTCACAGTGAGGAGAACCCAGCGGATTTGCTCACGAAGCACAAATTTGAAAAACATATGGAACTTTATTGGAGTTTGCTCGTAATCTCACGTTTAGGCGGTCTCTTCATAGGTCTGGAATCCAGTCATGTTGAGTTACAATTCCAGTTATTGGATTAGAATCGCAGTGCCCCAGTTCACGGTTCCAATCAGAGGCTCGAATCTGACAAAAGGGAACGAATCTAATAAAACCGTGGTAGGTGGATATGATTGCTCACTTAAAGACGGATTAATTGATAGAGGGTGGATGCCGCTCATTTCAGCTCGACGAGTTTCGATGACTTTGTAGATGAAAGAGTCAACGACGTTGATACATTTCTTCATCTTAGCCTCACCTCCTATGTTCAATGATCGATGAGTTACAATTCCATCGGGCTACTACCACATCCTCGTCACTATACTGCAATACAGCGCCTTTAGTTCCAGTCCGAATTTGATGTTCGATGATGTACAGTAGTACATACTGTTAGGGTCTAGTGCGCTACCATTGTCGCAATAGACCGAGGAACTGAAGGGTATTGCTTTCGAGAGAGGGTGGTGTTAGTATATAGGTTACCGAGTGCAATGTACTAGGAAGATTAGAGTAGAAAATTAGTTGGATCTCTTTTGTCTTCTTCCCCAACATTCCAGGCAGTAGTTATATTGACGGGTTGATGAACCAGATCACCCATAACTCCTTGTTTAGTTAACGTACCCAACTATCACTAAGAAACTATCGAGCTTTGTTGTTACTTTCCACAAATAGAACTGTTAACCCCCACAAACATAACAGCATTTCTTTTTTCTTATAGGCGTTCACTTGGAGTTCTAAATTTTGTATCATACAACTATGACATTGAAGAAATCTTAGGTATGGAATTTGACATTGAGAACCACACACACAAGAAATTTTTAAATTTTGTATTTACATATTTTACATATCCTAGCGTTTACATTAGAGGATAGGTAGCCATTTTTCGAATCCGTAAATATCTCCCCGGTTGCTCTTCTATTGAACTGGGGAGCTGTGATACAGTTTCAGTCAGTACAGTCTCCTTCAAAACTCCCCAGCAGCATACTACCTTCCAGGTTTGAGAAATTGACTTTCGATTCGAGCTGTATGTGACTCTCTTATAATGGCCTAAAAGAGGACATCAACAAGCTAAAGTGCACACCACACGTGATGCAACTGAATAAATATCTGAGGTCGCTCGCAATTGGACCCAAATTTTATCCCTGGAAAGAAAAAGTACAAAGTGTTGGAGCTTTCTACTTCAAGAGCTTCAGAGTTCCTGTCGGCCGCCGAGGAAGTGGAGAATCAGACTAATAGAGGCCTTGGAGAATAGCATACGACAAACTTCTATGCTACATACGCGACATTAACACTGACGCACTTCTTTCTGTTTTTCCTACCAGATCCTTATATAAGCACTAGTGGTTTTGGAATCCTTCATGAGAAATTACTTGATCGGAGGCTTCGGTCGCGTCTGTTTCGAAACTCGAGAACGCAGTGCAGGGAACAGTAGAACATTGAGTGTGCTGAGGCTGCGGTACTCTTTGCTTGGCAAGGTCCAATCAGTTTCGTCCCATGCCCTTCTAAGTACAAGGTCATAGGCTGAGTTTGGTGTGGTTGAATTTATATGAGAGATGTGGATCGATCCAGTTCCACAACATGTGTGCTGAAATGGGCCGGATCGGGTATGTCTCAATCGTAACCAAATGTGCAGAAGGAAACAGATGGAACGTCTCCGTGTCTCCCAGAACCAGCTTGCTAAACTCGGTCACAGAAGAATACCACTTCTTCCGATCCTGATCGGAAGTTGCTTTCCTGAAGTGTTTGAGAAACTCACGGCAGATGAAGTCATGTTTGTTCAGATAGAGATATGGAGACCAATTGGCTTCGGCCAGTGTCTTGAACTCGGCTAATGCTTTGCTTCTCCTCTCGGTGTTGTCGGTGTCGGCCACGGCATGGAAGAATTTGCTACCAGCGCGCTTAGCAGCGTCATATAGTTTTTCACCCTCGGCCGGCATTGCCTCGATAAAAACACGTTTCACAACATGTGCACAGCTGCGCGCCAGCGATTCTAGAGTGGCGAACGGAGGATTGAAGAAGTGGCCCTCGACCGCACCGCCTTCGAGTGCCAGCCTTCGACAGACCATCAAGCCCGCTGCGGCCCCGAGTGAATGTCCGGTCACGTTCACGTTGCAGTACCCATGTTGCGCACCGAGACGCCATACCACATAGTACAGAAGTGGGATCAGTGTTGAAGAGTTCAGTTTCTCCAGAACTATCTTGGCATCGTTGTGGAGATCCGCCAAAGCCGAGGGCTCAGTTCCCCGGATGGCGACTACCCACTCCGGAGCCTCGTCTAAAGGACTGTCCTTATTTCGTCGGAAGACACCGAAGTACTGGTGCTGACGCTCATCCTCCAGTTCTGCACAATCATATATTTTTGCCCGCAGTCAAGCAAGGTCGGATTCAGATGGGATTCAGATTGAGAAGCATAATGTGAGTCCGATCCAACACTCACCTTTTGCAAAGAGCTTAAGCTCGTCCTCAGTCAGTACTGACTCCAAGGGGACCAGATGATAGTGCACCTTGGTCCACCATTCCTTGTATTCTATTTCAGGTTTGCGCCTGAACCTGTCGTACATCCCATAGACCAGCCTTGCGAGGATGGCACGTTTCTTGATCTTCCGCTCTCTTGCATCACTGTCATGATCGTGGGCCGACATTGAGCTTGATCAGTCACCCCATATCTTAGACGCTAAAGCTTCTGGCCTTCTTCCAATACAAGTAACAAATTCTCATGTCTATGAAACGACGATTGCTACAGGAAATATCGGAACTTAAAGTCTAATCAGTCTTCTTACCCATTCTGATCGTTTGCGTGAAAGATCAGTCCTGGATCGTTCTTCTTTGCTTCCTTCTCCTTGTAACTATTATAAGCGACGTACGTCCCATAGACGATCCCAGCAACCGCGATCACTTCCATGGCCTGGTCTCCGAAAAGGATACGAAGGTGTCTCGCCTCGTGCAAAAGTGATAGGGATGGTCGGGAATCCCCGCGCAAATCCCCGAACAAATCCCCACAATCCGCATACAAAGACGCCGTCTTGCGCCGCCAAGATCCAGGCCTGCTCGCTCACCCCACACCATGAAGCCACTGCCATTGCAACCGGCTTGTGAGCCGATTTATATTCTGCACATGCTTGCCTTCGGTGTTTGTAGATCACGTGGTGACTTTGACCTGCGCTGCCTTTGACCTTCTGGTCCGGTTCTGACCTTCGTCGTCCAGTTGTTGCTACAGCGGCAAGCGTTCGAGGTGGAGGAGCTGAATCAGCGAAGGCGGCCTTTTTACCTCATCGGATTTCAATTTCATCGTTTTCTCTCTCTCTCTCGCATTGTGCAATAAATGTCCGCGCCGCTTGAGAATTACTTACAGGGATTTGGCAGGAGCCTGCGTGGTAGCCGGAACCAATCCTCGACGCGACGGGAAATAAGATTTGACATGTATTGCTGCTACGATAACGGGGTGAATTTAACAAATCGAGGGTGAATTTGACAATCCCCTAGTTTTAACCATTTAGTTTACAGCATAGCTAGTCTCTCGCTAGCTCGCGGATGTCTAAAGCCAATTATTAACAGCGATATTATTATCGATGATCCTGGAACGATGATGCAAATTAAAACACCGACCTCGCGTCGTGATGAGAAAGCATAAGTACTACTGTACAGGGGAATTCTCGTTAGTGTGGTCGTCGAGGTAGCTTATCTATCTTCCTTGATTTTCTCAAATTCACATGGATCTACTATTAACTTGTATCAAAGGTTAGAAGGTCTGAGCCTTGACGAAAAATTGTTGCAGAAGAACCAACGATGCAAAAGAAATATGTTGTTCAATTAAGTTGAGATTTCCATCGTGCATCACTCGATACCAAAATTACTGAGAGATTGTGGAATTGCAGTGACAGACTTTGACAGCGATAGCCCATGCATTAAGTACAATAGCATGTTTGATTTCAATGAATATGGAAGAATCGTGTGAGCGATCGAGGCAACTACAACATGAGAACTCAACGACCGTGTTGCTGTGCAATTCAATCGCCCTGATTGTTACACACGTTATCACACAAGATTTACGCCAAGGGCGTGGGTAAAGTCATAAACATATATAGCTCCGAGCTGCAGGTGGAAACGGCGTGATTGTCAACTGGTCTCAGAAGGTGGGACTAAAGCTTGACTTTCTTGTACAAGCGAACTGGATACGTGAGCGAATGCATCAGTATGATGATACTCTCGATGTCGTCAGGCTGACAACGGACGAGTCGGAGTTTATCTTCATGGAATCATTTTCATGCAGTCTTTGATATATTCAAGCAAGTGGATGTATTCTGACAACTGAGTTGCACAAGCGCAGTCATCAAAGCATGTTCTGCTTATTTTTTGCTTTGAAGATCGGTACAATAGTATATATATAACTCTACATAATTTTTATGTTCAGAACAAACTGAATAGCTTTTTCGGAGTTTACTAAGCACTATACAGAATAAATGAATACTCGAGGCTCTAAATTGCTGGTATGATGTTTTTTCTAATTGTACTTTCTTGATAATAGCACGTGCATTGCATAAGTTGCATAAACTCAACCAAGTGATATGCACAAATGAAAATAAATATCATAGAAAAGATTTAATATTCTAAATAATTTAAAGATTTACTATTTTTTATGTATGACTTGTAATGTGTTTTTCAATAGATAATAAAGAGCTTAAAAAAAGAAGTGTCACACGGGTGACTTAAAAAAAAAAATTAACAATGAAAAGATAGCGTGGATAGACCCAAGATTTTTATTTGTCAATAGTCTATGGAACTCATATGAGAAACTATATTTTTCAAGAATGATAAGTGTTAAATCTCTACAGCTTTTTGTTAGTGGATCGATTTAAATGGCCTCGGTGTTGACAAACCCTTGGCGTATGCTAATTTTCGAAGATACTCATGAAATATTTTGATATTGTAAATAATGTTTAGTTTCCACACACCTTCAATTCTTGCAGAGCATCTCAAAGACCGAACCCAAACGTGGGAGATGGTCAATTCTATGTCTATCAGTTTAGCTGATGGCAAGCTTGTTCCAACCAAATTCTAATTTAGGTTACGATAGAAAGAGCATGATACTTGCTGAAGTCAACATGAATCCTCTGAAAAAGTTGTATATTTCGAGCTTGCTTGCAAGTAAAAAGAAACTGTGTTATGCTAAACGTAAGATAACAATGACTCGTAAATTCTTATAAAGATGTGTTGTACAGTCTAAATGATGAGACAAACTTACATGTAAACTGAGATAATCTAAATAAATCAAACTGCAACTTTTGCACTACCATGCTGAAATCATAAAATCAAAAATGTAAAATGGAAAACTCTAAAGCACATAGCTTAATTGTTAAAATCGTTGAAACTCAAATGTGTTCGTTAATGTCGTTATCTTTATCGCCACTACTCTTTTAGCATCGCATACAACATGAAAGTATAAGAAATAAATGTTACCCAACACCGTATGAAAATGTGAATTCGCTCTGAACTTTGGGCTTTTCATTTTGAATTCTCTATTTTTCATATCAATGATAATTTCCGTTTTAAAACTAAGAATTTTGATCAAAGTCTGAGGAGAATATAATCATGGAAATATTTATTATAATCACATAAAATGAATTTTTAAATTTAAGAATCAAATTAAACAAAAGAATCATACCTAAATGAAGCAATATGCACTACACCAAATAGGTAACGAAGGAGATAGAAAGATGAAGTTAATCAGTTTTTGTAATCATTAACGGATGCAGGTGACTTCGAGTTGGAACGTCTCCGAGCGTATACGTTAAATTTAGAAGTTAGACTTGGGGAGGTTGGCGAGGAGCAGAATTGCCATTTTGGTTGGGCCTAAAATTCTCGGATTTTTTGGATTCATTCTCAAAGTGGTAAAGCGGAGATCTTCATACAAGCATTTTCAAAGGTTCGGATATAAAGAGAAAGACTTTTCGGCGCATTTATGATCCGAGCTCCAATACGCGCTGGACTAAATGAAAGACACGAGTCCTTCTCTTATCAGTCGACCCTTGATTGAAGTAAAGAAACACATCATGTTTCATTTGATAAAGAATTCCAACTCACTTTTAATTCTAGCCAAAATCGAAGATCCTGGCCGAGGCTGAGTTTGCTACTCCAGTCATGATCGGATTCATTCTTATTTTGCTCAGTCCTTGAGGTTCATTTAGGGCTTATAGTGTAAATTTTGGTAAATTCAATACTTTTCGCTTTGAAAGGATTTGATTGAATTTTGAAATACAAACGAATTTAAAAACATTACTAAAGTAAATGCTTAAAAAATCAGATAAGATTTATTTTGGCATTACAGTAGAAGATATTTTGAATTTTTTCAATGCATGATTTGGAGTTGGTGAAAATGAAAATTAAGAATGTGAATTTTTAATGAATAAAATAAGATTAAAAAAAATCGAAATGTATCTTAAGTTTAAAAAATATTCAAATAAATATTGTTACAAAATTTGAAATTATGATTTGAAACCTCTATTAGATGTGTGGAATGACAGGAGTAAATAGTTGTGTATAGTTCGTAGTGATATTCTTTCAAGAGTATCACGGGTGTTGATTTAAGATAGAACTGTTCGATGACATACTTATCTTTCGTTACAGAGAACATTGATAGTATTGCGTAGATTTATTCTTTACGAGTCATTTCTACATAGAATTTAGAATGAGAGATGGAAATGTACGTATTAATGGATTGGAGAAGATCCAAGCAGAGGAAATGCTTGAATTTGATAAATGTTAGACACTCCATTAAAGCGTAATTTTATGAATTGCATGGAAATGTTATGGTTGCAAGATCTCATTCATTGCTCTCATAATTTCTTTTCTATCCTTTTTTTGGCCTTCATGCATCTCATTTCCATTTTCAATTATATCATGAATTATTTAATTTCCTAAATTACTATCAATAGAACATTAGATCCTCAATTCCACAAACAATACAATCAATCGTGTTTCCGACTAGCTATGAAAGAAATCTAAGATACAATACGTAAACTTTTTGTCATCTTGATATGCATTTTTTAATGCTAATTTTAAGAAATATTAATTTTCATCTGTCCAAGTACATCGCAAGAAATCCAGGATTCATAAGTGGTGAAATATATAAGGCATGATGAAATATTTTCATTTGGCTACAATGAAAAAAAAATTCAAAGTGTTCATAGCTCTAGATACTCACAAGTCCATCCTAGCGATGGCGATACCTACTCGTTAGGGTAATACTAATCATCCTTACACTAGATTCTGAGAACCTACGAGTACCTACTTACTGTGCATGAACTTGACCAAACCACTAGTATTTAGGAAGCTCCCAGTAGGATCTTGTGGAAGGGACATGAGGCTGCAACCGTCTCTTTAACAGGCTCTCTGACTGATAAAGTGGTCCATAGAAAACAAAAAGTTTTTGTCAGGTCTAGTTGCTCCTTTCATGGAGTGAGCCATCGAAGAGTCAACAAACGGGGCTCAATGAGCTGACTAGCGTTGTCCAAGCGACTGACATAATATTCATCCCGTTTCCTTGGAGGAAATTCAGAATTCCGGCGGGGAACTACTCACATTGCTGAAATATATCCATTTACCGTGAAGTGACTCTCCCTACGAGTTCCAATCAGTAAAACTATTCAAGTTTATGTTTATGTTGTTACTGAAAGGTATGCAAGGCTTGGACCAGTAGGACCGAGTAAAGGGGTTCAAATCTGATCACCGGGTATACCCTTACTGGACCGTATGGATAGCGGGTTCAACTCCTGCCTGGGCCATACCTTTTGGCTGAGCACTACCTTCTCACAGCCTGGGCCATACCTTCCGCTTGTTCCACATCTTTTCGTTAGCTCTTTCACTAACATCATACTCACGCATTTGATTACTTTTACTCAGAGTATAGTCTTCATCATGTTTTCTATGATATTGCATCGCTGAGACTCATTGAGTCATTCCATCTTGCATCATCAGAACTGGAAGATTCGGGAATGATTCTTCTAAAGTATGTACCTACCCTTCAAGTTGCGGGAGATTACTGTACTCGTAGATGGAAAAGGTGCTTTAAG